TCTAGATGGCGCAGGCAGACGGGTTGTTGATATTCTGTTGATATTCAGAGAGTTAAATGACTTGGCACAAGCTGATTGGTTCATACTGCATATGCAGTCAATGAGCTTTCTGCCTTGCATTTATATGGCTGTCTAGCATTCACTTGAGATTCTTGCAGCGTGATAAGGAAATTACATGGAGCTGGAGGAAAGTGGGTACAGGTCAACACAGTGCACTCACTAGGCTGCATTTGAAACTCACTTTGTGTTTTTAAAACTGAAAGAGTGTAAAATATTAGGTCTAGAATCGCCACTGCTATCCAACTGTAGTGCCATGCTTAGAAGATGCATTATATTTATTTCTAACCCAATATAACAAGTTAGTTCTTGAGCTGCATGGGAGTTTTGAAAGCTGGATTTTCTCAGCAGTTTGCTTACTTTGCCATTTAACCCTGAGACCAATTAGTTATCCCAGTATTAACATGACTTTCACTTTGTTTCTTTTACTTTTTGATGGGGCTTTTCTTTCTTATAAACTTCCACTCAGTTAGATCAAGGCTTACAGCCATTGTTACTGATTATAAACTGCTGCATAGTTAACCTGATAATGCAACACTTTAACCATTTTAACATGTGAAAATAATTTGGATACGTATTTGACTTTTTGCCACATGACTTAAGTGTAAACACTCAGGTTGGAAAAATTAGATTTTTATCTCACTCGAAACTCATCTTAATTACCTATATATATATTTGTTATATATATAGTTCAGTCATGAAACTCTAGATGGCGCAGGCAGACGGGTTGTTGATATTCTGTTGATATTCAGAGAGTTAAATGACTTGGCACAAGCTGATTGGTTCATACTGCATATGCAGTCAATGAGCTTTCTGCCTTGCATTTATATGGCTGTCTAGCATTCACTTGAGATTCTTGCAGCGCGCTTTCAGAGTTTATCTGAAACCCTCCACCTTCCCCAGCTCCACCTGTGTAGATCTGCTATGGTTTATTTTATATGCTATTTGTGCAGCAGCAGTATGTCTTAAATACTCACGGGCGGCACCGTATCGCCATATGCATTGGCAGTAGCAAGTTCCTGTACTTGCTTGCAGCAGCAGCAATAATCTACAACTACAGCAATAACCAACAGCAGCAGCAATTCAGCAGCAGCACCAGTAGCGTAGCAGATCTATTCCGCCAAGACCAACTACATTAACATTGTCATATCCATCACCATGCTAAAATCTTCAGAGAGTTGTCATGATTGAAATATATTTGAAGTGGATCAAAACCTTTTCAAAGTCAAAGTTGTCCTAAAACCTTAAACCAAAATGCGTTCTTGTCTTAGGACAACTCTGATGAACTTTTTTGATCCACGTCAAATGTTGACTACTGTGTATATATATATATATATATTTATATAGTGAAAGGGTGTAAAACTTGCTTTCAACAGTGTGCTTTCACTCAGTTTTTTTATACATTAAACAAAACATTATATCATATTACCATATGCAGTTCAGTGTAGGAGAGTTTTCTGTTTTGACCATTATGTGAAATCAGCCAAATTTCATCATGTGAAAACGACACCCTATAATCCTTATCTCATTGATGTTCAGTAAGTTGTCTGTCATGAAAAATGTGACCGAACAGATGGCTTGTGTCTCCTGTCAGTAATGTTGACACATGTCAGAGCTTTTCCGCTATTAGTGGGACTATTTCCTGGGTGACATTCATTTTGAGTTAAACTTTCCTGCCATACTTCATTAAGTGGGATGAAATGAGACCATTTGTAAGTTTCCATTGCAGAACTGATTTTACAGATGTCTGAAATTTAAGTTCTGAAAGTGCTAACAGTTCAAAAGTGATAGATTTTGCTACCAAACAACAGAAATAGCAGGTGACTTATTATTACCTAGCATATTCCTAATGCTGGACTCAACTTCAATTTCCATGTCTTGCTGATAAATTTGCTTATTTAGCATATTCTGTGATATTAAGACTTAATGCTTGAATATTATTAAATTCCTCAATAATCACATTGTCTTGTTTTTAATCTGCCTTTTTAAATTAAAAAAAGAGATTAAGTTTGCAGGGGGTTCGTGAAATATTGACGTCTAAGGCGCAGTTACAAAGGAACAGACAAATAGTACTTTGACATTGCATAGTGTCAGTGTCACTTACATTAAGGGTGACGATAATTGCACACAACATCACTCAGTTTCACGTGACTCCTGGCTCAACATGGATATAAAGGCAGCGCCATACAGTCTGTGTCCCAGCGTCCTCATGAGGGGAGGAACAGGGCTTCCAGACATCATAGTGTAGAAATGCTTTGTCAAATATTGTACCAAGATACTAGCACATTGTACTGTGATGTTGTAGATGTTTTGCCTGCTCAGTGCATCATTGGATATATTGACACTGCTAACCATTTTGCCCAGTTCTGATTTTCTGATCAAATTTTTTTTGAGGGTCTACAGTACACATGATCTTTAAAATTTGGTTCATATCAAACATTGGTCAATAATTCTATAGATGCTCTCCTGCCACTTTGCTTAGGTCCAGCTGTAAAGTGAATTTAACTCACTGTTGTGTTTGTGAGTACCTTCTTTTTTCCCTGTGCCAAGTTGTCTCTATTTGCAGTGCATATGTCCAAAGATCTTGTAGTGTTATTTATAACGTCTGTGTAATGAGAAATCTTTTTTTATGAGGGTTTCATTCACGTACGAAGACCGCATTACTTTTACAGATTTGACTCTGTGTGTGTTCTTACATTTTAGATGAGGTGGAGACCTTTTTTTTAAGGGTTTTTAGTGCTTTCTCCATGTCATTTGTCACACAAAACGTTTGTGGTTTCTCAAAACCACACCCAAACATGCTTTCACACTACCACATGTAGCACATGGTTTTTATTGCAAGTCGGAGAAGAAAAATAACAAGATGTTTTTTTTGCAAACACTTGTCTTACTTTTCTACTAATAATGTAGATTGTGACAGAGCATATATGTAATTTAAAATGTATTACATAGCTGGCTGACCTTTGTTCCCATAACATTGCCTGAGGTGTTCCAACATATTATGCTGTTGAAGTTAATATTAAATACGGAAAATTCCATGTATTGAATCAGTGAAAAGTTTTGTTTACCATGTTTTGCGCAGTCAGCTAATTTTATGTTACTCTAGTGTGAGGTACGTTTGAAAATATGAACAGGAGTACACCTTTCCTCATACCTACAGTACGCCCACTTTTGCAGGTACAGTAACACTATGTACTTTTTGCCTTTCCATAGCTTATGACGTCTTTCACAATCATGTACTTGGAAAATATCTAGTAAATTCGTTTTAACTGACTTTGAGGGGTTTTTTTCCTTCCCCTGTGGGCGCTTTAATGAATTCCTTCATAGGAAGCCCTTATCTCATCAATTACCACAGGTCTCTAAACAGTATCCCATGCTTCTGTTTAATCACTGTATATTATTTGCATGATAAACACAGACATGGCACAGCCTAACGAATCTTAACCATTTTTATGGACTCTTAGAAAAATGGCATGCTGTATTTGCCCAGCTGATGTTTAACACTAGCTTAGTTTTTTACTAGCTTACATTGTGTAAATACAGGAGCTGGTTCTGTGAAGAGGAGGTGACTGCTTGGTCTGGAGAATTACAGGAATTTATAAGGGCTTAAAATTCAAAGTCTTCTATTTAATGTGGTAATGAGGTCAGACCCTCATTGCCAGCATTTCCAACAAGTGACATGTTTTGAAATGTGAACTTCTCATTTCAAAATTTGGGACGTAGGTACAGTAATTACTTTGGTTTTCTTAGAAGGCTGCATGTTCTGACATAAAGCATTCAAGCACACAATGTACCTCTACGTCTGTTTTCAAAACAGCTGATCAATTAACCAGCAAACAAGCCTTTTGGTTTTTTTCACAATGAAAAAAATGGCCTGATCATTTACTGTCAAATTGTCTACACAAGATTAGTAGTATGCCAAGAATCTAAACACAGCCTAGTGTCAAATAACATTGTCTTTCAGCCTTTTTAGTCCTTATAAAGTTTTATTTTGGGGAAACTTACTCCTCATGTCCTATTTCCCCAAGAACATTCCTTTGCACCCTAAAACGTAAAATTTTATGATGCAAGTATCTTTAATATTTAGACTGTTTTCTTTTGTGTAATGGTTATAGTCATAAGAAAGTGATTTTTTTTAAACCCCATATTCTGATGAGCTATCAAAACACTTATTTATACTCTTTTGTCAGTTAGCTTTTTCTGGAGGGACGGAAAACGAGAAGACTTGCAGTTGCATGTGTTAAACCTGTCGTCAAATATCCTGTTTTACTCCTTACATACCTTATGTTGCTCACTCTGCCTCAATTGTCGTGAGGGTCTGTGTGTGCATACATCCATTATATTATAGTATATTATATATTTTGCAAACCAGAAAGCTCTCATGTGTATGCTTAGAAATATGTGTCTTGCCTTTATAGCTAAAATTTATTTATTCGCCAAGTCTTGATAAGCTACTCAAAATGCATGCTTTCTTTAGCCATCGCAATTGCTGTTCTATTTATTAAAATCGCCTGTTTTTCTGATGCTTACCAGTTAACAGACTCGCTAGAGATGTGTTTGAATCATCTATTGTATCAGTGTGAATTTGCTTTTCATTCAGCCCAACAAATATTTGTTGTGCGCTTGGTACGAATAAGACTATTCACTGGCAATTGTTTTAGCTTTTTCGTTCACTGTAGGTGTTGTATAATAATTTAAATTCCATTTGTCATATGAATCCACCTTGCTAAACAGATTTTGCATGCTAGACATTTGGCCTTTGATAACAGTTTGATTGTAAGTGTTATAATAATGAAGTGATTTAATAAATGTGTGCAGCAGTGTTTGTGTTCTTGTACGTGCATTTGCACTATGTGTGTTTAAACATAATGTAGTTGTTATGCGTGTTTGATATTTTAAATAATCATTTACAGGAGTATTTTCTGTATATGTGTTTGCTGTAGGAACTGGGAGGCATTGAAGAGGTGGGATGAGGCGATTCAGCTCACACCAGACGATGCTGTGCTGTATGAGATGAAGTCGCAGGTAAAAAAGAAAATCTGCTAAGTTCATTCACACTATAAAATTAATTTGAATGTAAATGGTAAGTCTGCAATAGTGGAATTTACCGCAGATGTAGAGACACACAGCTGTTATGCTGACACATTATTTTCCTCTCTTCTCTCTTTCTCTCCGGCTGTTATTTTCATTTCCTCCTCCCCAAGTTTCACTGTCCAAACACACTCCCTATTTGTGGCTTTATAACAGAACATTTTGACATTTTGTTTTTTTCCCCTTCTTTTTGTATTGTACCTTCTCGTCTCTCACCGTCTTGTGCTGTTACCACACAAACAGTATCTTACATAGAGAACATGATGGACATACTGTATCTGTCCTTGTCTCTGGATGGAATTATTATTCCTTGAGGACGCCACCGATTTTAGATAGCGATCCTAAATATGCAACCCACATCAACATAAATAAATGATGCCATTTAGCAGATGCTTTCTCATGTCTTAATGTAGGGAAAGCCCCGTTGGGTTTAAGTGTCTTGCACAAGAGCACACTGGTGATCTGACAAAGCTGTTACACTATGTCATTAACTCACCAGTTCATGAGTCACATTTGCTTGGGATCAGACATGGGATCCTTCAAGTTAGTAACCTAGATATGTGGTAATCATCTTTCTACCACCTCTGTATTTGTGAGGAAATGTGTTGAACACAATGAAATGTTATAAACAGTGTTGAAGGAGTACTGTGTTTCTTTCATTACCCTGTCTGACTAATAAAAAATAACAAAAATTATATATTATTGATTGTATTTTTGTTGTTCACTGAATGTTGGTTAAAATTGTCATGAACAGGATCATGGATGGAGTTTGCTTCAGCTGATGGTGGGCTGTTTATAAAAAAATATGTTTACAGATCACATTAATATGTTAACAGCTTGTAATGAATAGTAAACCTGTTTTACGATGATGAATGACAGCGTTAAGACCATAAAAGAAAGAAAAGCACTTTGACGACCCTCCAGGCGGGCTGCTCCCTCAACGTTAACAAGCCAGAGCAACGTCTTCATCCAGTGTACACATGGGAAAATGTTTGTAAGCACCTGCTTTTGTACAAATCAGATGGTATCAGGATATATTTGTAAAATATTTGCATAATGCTCACAGAAAATCATCGATTAAAATCACGGAATAGATAATTGTCACGTTTCACTGGGAGGAAGGAACGAGGAGACATAGGAGAATACTTCAACATGGAATTTAATGGAACAAGCAACGGGGTAATCACAGGACCTCAAGGAAGACATATAACAGCTGACACAGACTCAGGGAAACACAGGGTTTAAATGCTAGGGGCAAATGATATAATTAATCAGACACAGCTGGAACCAAATAAACATAATGAGGACAGGAACAGGAAGACCAAAAATGGGCATAAGAGGGAGGGAAACACAAGGCACAGGAACACAAGACTGACATTTACTCCCCCCTCCCGGAAGGCGCGTCCCGCGGCGTGACAACATCCAATGGGGAGGGGGGGTGGTCGCTCTGGAGGCCTCTAGGGACAGGGTCACTGGACGAAAGGCCTCCAGGGCGATGCCCATTCCGGGACCCATAGCGGAGCAGGGAGCTCGGGGAGCCATGGCGGAGCAGGTGACTCAGGAGGCCATGGTGGAGCGGGGAGCTCGGGGAGCCATGGCGGTGCAGGGAGCTCGGGAGGCCATGGCGGTTTCCTGGGCTCAACGGGGGATCAGGAGCCCTCCCTGGGCTTAACTGTGTATCAGGAGCCCTTCCTGGGCTTAACGGGGGATCTGGAGCCCTCCCTGGGCTTAACGGGGGATCAGGAGCTCTCCGTGTGCTATACTCAGGAACAGGAGCCCTCCGTGGGCTAAACTCGGGAACAGGATCCCTCCGTGGGCTGAACTCAGGAACAGGAGCCCACTCTGGGCTGGTTTCAGGGACTGGGAAGTGCTTACAAGAAGCTGGCACTGGAGGGCGCTCTGGAGGAGCAGGTACAGCAAGGCGCTTTCGAGGAGCAGGCACTGGAGCAAACTCAGGGGCTGGAGCCGACACTGGAACGAGCTCTGGGGCTGGGATGAGGGCTGTGAACAGTCTTTTCTTCCTCATCCTCCTCCCTTGGTTATGGGTGAATTGGGCGGCCGGCGGGCTTGTCGTTGCTGCGGCCGGCGGGCTCGACATCGGCGCAGCCGGCAGGCTTGAATGCTGAACGGCCGGCGGGCGGACTTGTGGGAGCAGCAGCCGGTGGGCTTGACCT